CTATCTATCTATCTATCTATCTATCTATCTATCTATCTATCTATCTATCTATCTATCTATCTATCTATCTATCTATCTATTTTATCTACCTACCTACCTACCTACCTACCTACCTACCTACCTATCTTATTTATTTCTTTATTTATAGACTTTTCTGCCAAATTACTAAGGATAATTTAGATTTTATAATAATCATCTACAGTCCAAGAGATACAATACAAAGAGAGATAGCAGCTGTCTTCCTGAGAGTAAACCATTCTAAGGTATCAGTTTGAAAGTTAGGCCAGACCTTGTGAGAACCCTGTGCACAGTAACATGATTACTATGACAGAAGATAAACAGGTCATATATCATAATTATAGATCTAGATACATTTTAGTGTTTTTTAAATGGATGTGATTACCAGGTTCCAGATAATGCCACTTGGAGGGCTAGATTCAGCCTAGGAACATTGGACTTTCAGCCTAAATTTAGTTGTCTACCCTTCCCCGGAGTTTGGAGAAGCTATATTTTTGGTCTGTAGCTTCCAGGATCTTCATGGTCATGAGTATGTTGGCCTGAGGAGTGTGGGATTTGTGGTCCAAATTCTGTCCCTACTCATCTTTCAGAATGGTGAACAAACGTATAAGTTGGTTAGATGACAAAACGAACGTTTGTCAGAATGAGACAGACAGGTTGCAAAACACTGGCTCCGTTAGAAAAAAAATGATGTATGCATGTTTAACTGAGAGTATTGTAGGTTGGGAAAGATTATATGTTCTGGCAGCTCTTTTCACATCTAGAAAGCATTCCTTCTCAGAAGCTAGAATAAAGCAAAGGGATTGGGGAAAATATTTTGCATCTTTGGAGGGGGGAAATGGAAAGTTCTTTCTTGAAATGGATCAGAGGGATCTGTGCCGATGCAACTCAAGAATTCCCTTTTGAACTGTGACTCACATTCTTAGTGGCATTGGCTCTCTGTCTTTGCCTCCCTCCCTTTCCCTGAAATGTGTGGCGACATTAATTAATTTCTGTCAACACTAAGGAGTCTGGCAGGAATATTTTGGCAGCTGTCCATCAACCAGAGCCCCTCAGCTCATCAGGGCCAGTACTGATGTCCTCCCAAGGCCAGAGGCTGACATGTGCGAGGGAGGGTGCGAAGCGCAAGGAGAGCAAGGGTGGGGGGGCTGGTGTGGGTCACGTGGGCAGCTCTGAAGCAGGCCCCTTCCTCCATTGCAACTCCTACAAGAAAACACTCACCAGCACATCCCCTTTCAACCTTCTTCCATCACGAGGCGATGAATCAACCATGCTGCTGCTTGCAGATCACACTTTTGAGTGTCACTTCACCATAAGGCGACCTGAATGAGGGAAGAAGGAATGGGAATAGAGCTGGGAGAGGAAAATTCGAAGTTATGGCCTTGGTCTCCAAGTGCATAGAAGCATTGTTAGGGTTCTTGGATTGAAGTGTAATGAGCTACAGTGAGGACAGAGTGCACTGTGAGCCGTGTGATCTAATGAGTTAGAGATGAAGAATCTGAGGAATAAGGTATTTGTTACAGATAGCCTATTTTTATAACCGAATACCCTTTTGTGTTTTTGAGATATGATTTGGCAGACCTCCATGACTTCGTATTTGCAAAGAAACCTTAGGTTTATGTCCAGGAGGCTCGTTGCACAAAACAGAGCAAGCTTATTCGTAAATTACAGGAGATGTGTTGTTATAATCAAATGTTTTTTAGCATTTAAAGAATTTCCTCTTCTAATGATAAGCTATCTGTAATGTCAAGTTTGGCTAGACAAACCAGCAGCCTCACTTGATAAAAGTCAGCTTGCTGCCTTTCCTGTCTTCTTGAGCACTGCCTGTGATTAGGAAGGAGAGCGCTTAAAACTTGCTCCACTAATTGTTTCTCTCCTTTGTTCAGTTCTATGTGCTGGAGAATAATCTGGAAACAGTGGGTCGACAGCTGTTGTTCTTAAGTCTGGCTCTGGAGCCTTCAGAAAAGCGGGGGCTACAAGGTGAAGGCAAACAAATCTCCGTCCCTCCTCTGGGGTGGGAGGGTTTGGTGGCTCATTATCTGGAGGCTTCCAGAAGGCTAGCCTCAACTGAATGATGACAAGCAATAATTCTATCTCTTGCTCCCTACCCCCACCTAGAGAAGAGTGAGATGTTCTTGGAGCTGATGGGGAACACTCTGCTCCGAAGCCAGACAGCTGCCTACTTGCAGGAGAAGGCGAACCTTTTCATCCGTTATGTCACAGACTCTGATTTCCAACAGGCTCATCTTCCCACTGTGGACATGTCTGCTCTCAAGGTGAAGTGCAAAACAATCAAGTAGTGGAACTGGAATGGAAATGGGGTGGTGGTGCTTTGCTTGGTGAGCTGCCTTTGCTATTTTGGGCTCAGGACTCCATCCACTGTAACCACTTGTGCTTTCCTTCCCAGAGATCCAAGCCTCATGCCTTAAATCCTTTCCCATTGCCAGCCAGTAGCCTCAGCCACCTGTCTCAGCCATTGTTCCAGCTGCTCTCTAATATCTCTTCTTGCTTGGACAGTTCAAGGAACGAGATCACTTAGAGAGAATCTTCCAGTTCTGGAGGAACCCTGACCCACAGGCTTTCCCGATCAAGCACCTCTGGGACCTGCGTCTCCGGCAGTACCTGGGCACCCGCTATGATGCTCGTCGTGGGGTTTGCGACTGGGACCTCACAATGAAGCTGCAGGAACGTGGGGTGCGTGGCAGCAGTCAAGCAAACCCATCTAAGTTCAGTTTAGAGTTGGGGTGCTGCAGAGATTAGAGTTGAGCTTGGGAATGTGCTTCCTTTCTCTAGCTGGGATAGCTCTTTCTCCTCCTAGGCCAAAGCTATCAACCTCCGTGAGTTTTTCCGTTGGCGGGACACAGGTGTGGCCTTTGACACACGGGAAGCCACCTATGAGATCCCCAACAAAACCTTGGCATCTGGCCGGCTCCTTAGACATGTGAGTTGCTCCACTTCCTTGGGATTCTGCAGCCTGGCTTTGCCATGCTTCTGCCAGATTACGAGGTTGGGTTTCTGTTCTCTTTTTTGGGAGGGCAAAATATGGAAAGTCTGATTTGACAAGGTAGAGTCCTTTCTGTCAGAGGCGTTCTCATTTTTAATACCACCCTTTCTCCAAGGACCTCAAGGCATCCAACATGGTCTCCCTCCCTAATCTTCACAACACCCTGCAGGCAGATAAGGCTGGGGATGAATCAGCAATCCGAGACTGTGAAGGAGCTTTGTGGTTCAGCAAGTATTTGGACCCAAGTCTCCTTTCGTTCCCCCCCCCAAACTCTAACTACTACATACCATTGCCTCATGTTATGAAAGTATTATTTGGGGGGGGGGGCATACTACAGTTACTGCTGTACTTCTGAGACAACATGACAAAGAGATCTAACTTACGCCCTGCTGTTTAAAGTTTTCTGTGAAGTGGTCGTTTTTATGGCCTGTATCCTATTTGGCTTCTGCTGAACAGAAAGTCCTATAAGTGCAGAATTGCATTACTGAACACAAATGTTACATTACTGAACACAAATGTTACTGTACAAGCGTTGATTTCCATGAAGAAAACCTGCACTATGACTGTGCAGTGACAATCTTTGCATAAGTGGTGTGATATCCCATTACCACATAGGTGGTATTCTCACCTCAGCAGAAGCTTAATGGGATACTGCCTCTCCTTCTTGAATCAAGTATTTGGAGACAAATCCTACTTGCCGAAGTGGTTCTGAGCCCCAGCTAAAGGAGCAGGTCTTTATTCTGTCAAATAAAATGCTCCTTTCTTCTAGGACAGCCGTAACATTTCTGTTCTGATCCTCTCTGCCACAATGCTTTTGTTTTTATTTTGTTTGTTTTCTGTCTGACTATCCCTAATTCCGTTTTCTCTCTCACCTAGCTTATCTGTGCTAATTACTGTAGCTATCCTTGATATTTACTGTAGAAAATGAAGAGTGTTGTAGCATCTTAAAAGCCAATGCCATCAGCATTTGTGGCCTACAGCCTGCTCCTGACATCCTTCTTTTAAACAGATGTAATTGTTTTATTATTGGGCTCTCAGGCAGCCTCCCATGTCATCGTTCTCAAGTCTCTGAGCGAAGCGCCCAATTCTCGATTTCATGTTTGCCTTCTAATTTTAACTCAAGGTAGGGAAGGATTTGCGGAGAGGAATTAGGAGAAGCAAAAAAAATATATTGGTCCTTCTGCCTGCTCACCTGCCAACCAAATCTTCCCTGCAAACCCCCTTCCCATCACTATAATTGCTTTTTCCTCCCTTGGGCTTAGAGGCTGTGAGAAATGGAGCTGAAGGTAAAAACAAACCACAAAACCTAATCCAGGCTTTTCACTGAACAGAAAGGGGAGCCAATGCCAGCTCGAGGATACTGGGGAGATATAGCCACTGGTCCCTTCATCACATTTGGAATTGAGACTGAGGAATCCAGTCTTCTGAAAACTATCAATGGTGTTCCGAGTAAGGTGAGCATGAATGCCTTTTGTGGGGTATCCAGAAATGCAGCTGTGCTTTTGTGAGAAGAGGAGGGCTGGTAGATCTCAAAGCAGCCATAGTTTTTTTTTTCAAATAGTGTGTCTGAAAACATTCTGACATGCCTGAAAAACAGATTTTAGTGCTTTACTTCTGTCAGCCTTCACTCCTCAGTAGGCACATTTTCTGCATCAGGAGTACTATACCTTTTGTTCCTTCACCATCCACCAAGTGGCCTGTCCACTTGTGCCTTTGAATTATATTGTGCATCCGTACATATTTTAGTGCATTTCTCAAAAGTGACATAGCGCTTCTCTGATGCAGCGCTCAATTTTACAAGCATAATTTTTTTAAAAAAATGTTTGGAAGAGGAGAGACAACAGACACTTGCTTGAGAGAAATTATCCTACTGTAATGCTGTGCCCCACAGGTCACTGCATCAGCATAGACATACCAGCAACTGCACCTTTGAACAAAGATACTCAGTCACACAACTCAGAAAAAGCATAAATGTGATGGCAGCTAAATCAGTACAAAATAAACCACCCCTTGCTGGCTAAACAATGCCTGTAGAAAAAGACCAGGCTTCTCTATGCTTAGCTTTATGTTATGCCATCACTGGTAAATACTTCATTTTTAACTATGCCCACTCCAACACAAATCATGAGGTAAATTGCAATATATTTGAACTCAAAGAGCATTTTGTATTTGAGATATCAAATTGTTCCTCTGTTCTAATCATGGCCTATCTAGAATGTCTTCTTCTGACCTCAGTTTGAAAGCATTGTCAGTCTTTCCAGAGTGCCATGTATGCGCTTTCACAGCAAATGCACCAGTCAAAGGTACCTTAACATATATGGCACAAGAAAACAGAAGAATAGAATGAGAATTGTATCTGAGATTTGGAACAAGTGGGCAGGACAGGCTCAAAGAGGAACATTTTCAAGGCTTATCTTTTTTTTCCCCTCAACAGAGTGCACAGGAAATTGCCTTGTACAATCTCACTGCCCTATTATATGAGCTCCGTTATAATACACGATATGTCCCATCAGAGTCCTCTGGAGAGGAAAGTCATGGCAGTGACTTCCGAGATGATAGTACAGTTCATAGCAGGTTGGATGTTTCCAGTGGTGAGTGGTTGGTCCATATTTTCTGTTTAAGAAAAAAAATTTTTTTCTGGGATAAAAGCTCCACCGAGTAGACTTATGAATCGTTAAGCAAATTTTCCCCATAGAACATCGTTTTGCGATTGCAGAAGCGATCGCAAAACTTCATCGTCAAGCGGTTTTGTCGTTTAACGAGGCAATTGTTAAGCGAGGCACCACTGTACCTTTTGTTGTAGTCTGTGGAACCTTAACATATATGGCACAAGAAAGCAGAAGAATAGAATGAGAATTGTATCTGAGATTTGGAACAAGTGGGCAGGACAGGCTCAAAGAGGAACATTTTCAAGGCTTATCTTTTTTTTCCCCTCAACAGAGTGCACAGGAAATTGCCTTGTACAATCTCACTGCCCTATTATATGAGCTCCGTTATAATACACGATATGTCCCATCAGAGTCCTCTGGAGAGGAAAGTCATGGCAGTGACTTCCGAGATGATAGAGTTCATAGCAGGTTGGATGTTTCCAGTGGTGAGTGGTTGGTCCATATTTTCTGTTTAAGAAAAAAAATTTTTTTCTGGGATAAAAGCTCCACCGAGTAGACTTATGAATGTTGGTTTGTTAGTTTAGAGCAATAGTTCCCAACCTTGGGTAACCCCACTGTTCTTGGAATGCGGTTCCCAGCAGCCGTCCCCATCGGCTGTTCGGGCTGGGGTTTCTGAGAGCTGTAGTCCATGAACACCTGGGTCACACGAGGTCGGGACCCACTGGTTTAGAACGTTCTCTGCTTCAGTATTTCAGGGCCACTTACAAGTGTTTATGCAATGACCTGCCCTTTAAAAGCCTCACAGAAAAATTATGCGGGTAGATGGAAACAGTAGTCAGTGCACAAAATAAAAAGACTGAATAAAAGAGGAGATGTTCCCTGGGCAGGGAAAGTGTTTCTAGACCACATTTTTATCAGTCCTACAGAGCGCCATGTGAGTAGCCGTTGGGATTAGAAACCCAAAATCTGTTTGCAGTCAGATAAGAACTTGTCTCTTCTGATTTATAGTGAAGCGTGCTAAGTCATTTAGCTTCACAATTTGCCTTGTTTCTGACGAGGCTGCTGTATTTCAGTCGTTGAGCATGTGGGACTCCTGTCATCATCTCATCTGAAAGGCTGTCATGAAGTTGAAGTGGGGAAGACTTCCTCTCTGCTTGAGCCCTAGGAGAACCACTACCGACTAGAGTAGGTAGTGCTGAGCAAGATGGACCAGCGAGGATGGTTTATTTTCTGTTTCTCTTTTTTTTTTCTTTTACACTCACCCCCATACACACCCCAAACAGAAAGCTTTGTTGCTTTTTCTTTTAAACCCTAAACTCTGCTGAATTGCTGGACAGTAGACAGGCTATCCTTCTCTCTGATGTCTGTTTCCATTTATATTCTCTGGTTTCAAGAACAAGGTGCCTTTCCCCCAGTCTCCTGTCCTTTAGACCTAGTTGACCTCCGTTGGGGTCTTCTTCCTGGTTTCACCCTTCTGCATCTTTTCCTCTGCCATAGGCCCTCCACCTACTGAAGATGTCCGAGTCTACTTCCTGCCCCTCAACTGTCTCCCTGAGCTCCATCACAAGGAGAAATACCAGAAACTCTTCAATATCGTCTTCTTTTCTTGCAGGTAGGACTAGAGTGAGAATGTGGGGCACTTGGGCTCTAAGAGTGGGGAAGATGCTACTGCAGGGACCAGGGTTGTTGGATCCCTATGGGAAAATGGAGTGTGGCCAGTTTTGCTGGGAGCCAGCCCTCCATTAGTATCAAAAAAGAGAGAGAGAGTCTGTCTAGTTCAGTCATATCAGCAAAGTTTGAAATTGCTTGGAATCCATAGTTTATCATGCTTGTCTTTGTGCCACACTGAGGGCCATCTTTCTCAAATGTTCTTCTCCACTGCAAAATATGAAACGAGAGTTTGTGAGTCTGCCTTCAGTAGGCTGGGCATCAAGCCTGCTGATTTGTAGCAATATATGCAGAAGTTCTTTTCATGCTAACTTGACTTTCAACAGAATGTGTTGGTTTTTAAACTCCAGTGACCAGACCATGCAGTCAGGCAGCCTTGTATTTTCTGAGTTACAGCCTTCTAATCGGCAGTGGATTCTCTTAAATGTTGTTTCTGTATAATATTTTATCTGGTTTATGGCCTTCAGCTACATTTAAAACCCTGTCTTGCTCCCACATCCATATGCCTGTGTGTTCACCATGTTCATTTAGCACGTTTTTTTCCAAGGTGGCAAAACCTGTTCAGGACAGTTCACAGCTGAAAATAATGGAACACAATTTAACAAACACTACGCAGGAAGGAATAAGAATGGGAAAAGACAGGGAGAGAAGAGGAAGATAAGCAAACACCAGCCATTTGGGGAAGTAATTCAGCTGCATTTTCAAACAGCTCTCCATCTTGTTTACTATTGGGAACTATAGTCGCCGGGGGGGTGGTAATGCATCATATGATACTGTGCACGCATGTAGCACCATCAACACACATCCACTGGCATTCTGATGCAGAAAGGAACTCTTAAGGGGAATAGTCATCATTTTTTTCTGTACGAAGGCTAAAGGAAGCTCATCATTACATACTCATTTTGATCTGTAGGCTGTTTGTACGTCACTAGACTAGGCAGGCTCTTGGTGCGGGAGAGCTTGCTGATCTGTACTCTTTGCTGTCCTTTTGTAGCATGGTGCATTTCCTGAAACCAAATCTGAACCTGATGTCGGCCCCTAAAGCCACTCTCATTGTTGAGCTAACAAAGTAAGTGTTTATGTGCTCATTTTCTCTTGTAAGAGGGAGTTGTACCCCTTCCTTAAGAAAACAGACTATTGGCATGCAGGAGGTAGCATTCTAGGTTCAAAATCAGAGGCCCGGGCTTAAATCCTTGCCATGAGGTCTACTGATTAATGGCATAGCCTCACTTGCAAATCTTTATTTCTTCTTTGCTTGCATGTTTGCTTTTATTTGGAAAGCTCTTGTCATCTTATTAGGTTCAACTTTATTATGCTTCAATTGTTACAAAATCATTGTCCCATTTAAAAGAAAAAAATTATATAGCGCCAAGCACCTCATCCCCTTATTCTTCAATACATCCCATCAAGTGTAGAAATGCAGAATACAAATAACTGTAATTATTAATAATGATTATTAAAATAATGATTTTAATAATGATTATTGAATAATAATTGAATAATTAAAATAATTAAGAAATATGGGATAAAAATAATTCTAATGAATAATTCTAATGAATAAGTAAATGGGGAAACTATGTAAGGAAATTTAAAATGCTCTATTGCTGGTATTACAAAAATGGTGAGTGTTGAGGAAAAAGATATGAATCTCCCACAATTCTCAGTCAGCATGACCACTTGATATATTGGCTGTAGGACTATGGGAGCTGTAGTTTTTTTTTTTTAAAAAATCATGTTTCCAAACTCTGTCTAATTGAACATGGCTAATTCCTTCACATTCCATGCTGGCACAGGCACATTTTCTGCCTGCCTTTGTATTATGCCCAAATGTAAAAGGAGTGAAAATCCTCCTGTAGCTTCTAGACATCTCCGCTGGGTGGCGCTAGCTGGTCAGATGAATTGGAGTATCCTGAAACAAACGACAGAGCATGGCTATTGGGCTTCATTCATTTCTTCTGAATAGCTCCCCTTCCCTCTCCCAGACCAGGACTAAAGGAACCAGCATGCTCTTCGTGATCACAGGGCCAAGTTAGTTAGAGGAGTTCAACAAGGTAGCTAAGGAGCTGAAAGGTTTGCCAGAACTCCTTGACTCTCCAAAAATCATACTCATGTGCCTGCCTTCTTCTGACAGCTTCCTGCCTGACCTCCGCAATGAACATGTGTCTGCGTTCTCCTCCCAAGTAACCAACCTGGCAAGGGAAGCAGGATTTCTGACAGTGGAAGCAACAGAAAAAACAACATTTTCCTTGTTCCAGCTTGGGGACCAGAAGGTTGGGGAGACCCACAATGAGATGCCTCCACCTGCTTCGACAGCACCTGGCCCCTGAAGTTGTCCCTTTACACTCCTTTCGGACCACTGTTGTATAATAAAAAGGTTCTTTCTCTAAAATATCCAGCATGCTTCTCAGTCTGTGATATGGAAATGCAGTCAGCTGGTAATTCAGGATGAGAGTGTGTTTTCCCCCCGAATTACTGACTTATTAGATTTCTTTCCATGAGCTGATTGCTTACTCTAAAGCTGTGGTTTTCACACTAAAAGCTTCTGAGCCAGAAGACCAGAATAATGGGTAAGTTTCCATGGAAGATAAATTGCACATCGCTTCCGATCTTATCCTCCGCTGTGCAGCCCCAGGACAGTGTTGGGATTTTTCTGGGAACCCAGCACAGGCCTTTATAAATATTCTCCAGAATCCTTTGCAACATGTAAGTGCTGCTGCGGGAGGTAAATCAGTGATGGAAGGGCTGCTTGAATACAGAAAGCTTTGGATAAAAAAATCTGATTTAAGTGGCTTGGTGCCCTTTAGTTCATTCTTTAGATCTTTATCTGCTCCTCTACAGTGCTCTATGATGTTAGCACAGGAGCTCATTCTGAATGGGCAGTAGACATAGATTTTCCTGTACAAAGGCTTCGTGAATACATTTTCCTGTACAGTTATTAGAATAGATGAGGTTGAGAGAGCATAATGGAGCAATTATATGAGTCTCCTCAATCATGGTTTAACATTCTAGCCCAAGGGCTCAACAGATGTTTAGGACTACGTATGTGAGTTTTCACCATCAGTTAGTGCTGGCCATGTTGGGTGGGGTTAATGCAGACCTAAATATCTTGAAAGCTAATGGTTCTCACCTCTGCTCTAGCCATTGTATCACACTGGTTGGAATCCTACTGGTGTTCACATAAGGTTTATGTAACTTGCCATGGCTAATTGCAACTAATTGATGAGGTTCTGGAGCATATTTCTACCACCTAATGTGGTGCATGGCTAGGCATATAATCGAGAAGCTCCCAGGCATCTTGGCAATTAGCAAGAATTAGCTGCTGCAAATTACGCAAATCTTATGTGAACACCAGTAGCTATAAAGCCATTGGCTTCAAATTCTGGCCGACAGCTATAAATTGCGTGCCCCCTTATCTCAAAGTGATATGACTTGAGCCACAGGAATAAATGCTCCATGACGTCCTACTGTGATTCCCTATGCGTTGTTAGAGTTAAAAACACATGACGGTGAACAGAGCAGAGCTTCCTTTTGGGGTTAAATTTGGTCATTTATGCTCGAGCGGTTTCTCAGCTTCTGATCATTTGCAAGGTGATTGCTCAGTCACAGACAAGACATTTTATCCCTTTCTAATTAGGAAGCTGGTGTGTCATCTGAGTTCTGCCCTTAGAAGTGATGCAGCAATTCATGCCTAAATGTACCTCATTTCTACTGAGAACCAAGGTCATTTCATCAGGCAGTTGGAAAAAATGTTCAGCCTTTAATTCCAGAGTTGTGTCACAGGCACAGGCAAACTGCTACCGGGTTAACAATCTCCAAGGGGTTGGCAATGTTATCCTGTGGCAGCAGAAACAACAAAGAATCCCTTAAGCACCTTACAGATTAACTCATTTATTTTAGCATGAACATAGCTAATGCCAAGATGTTTGTGTTATTGGCAATAATTTGGCGAATGGTTTGCGTTAACAACAGAGTTGTCACTGTTAGTATACTTTCTGCTTCTAATTTCCCTCACACTCTATAAATTAATCCTTGAGCATGGTGTATCTGTGCATGCCTGTGTGTGTGTGCCTGTGTGTGTGTCGCTATAAATTAATCCTTGAGCATGTGTATTGTGTGTATGGTGTATCTGTGCATGCCTCTGTGTGTGTGTCTTTTTAAACACCTGAAATTTCATGTCTTTGATGAAGTGGGCCACACTCCATGAACATTGATAAATAAATTTGCTAGTTACGAGGTTGCTACAGGACTGTCTGTTGCCTCTCCTGCTGTGTTAACAGACTTGCTCTCACAGAGTGTTCAGACTTGGCATGAGGATTTATTCACACTCCTACGTGAAACTCTTATAGCCAGCCTGTTCACAAACCCAGCTCTCCTTGCCGCACAGTATTCATCTGTAATACATAAATAGCCTATATTCTGTACCTACCTACCTCACGCACACGTACAAACATAGACAATATATAGTATTCTCACTACTTTACAAGAGGGCTGAAGATTTTGATTTACAAGACACTTGGCCATCTGATCATAGTTTGATACACATTTTGTGGGTGATTCCGAGAAATAAGACTTGATAATGTGGGTAACTTTGCTTAAGGGAAGGGGGGCCCTGGATGTGAGCCTTGTTCTTTTTATTCTAGTCTTTGGTGGCTCTCCCTGAACTACTGCGGTCTCTTCTCCTCCCAGCATCTGGTGTCAGTTCTTATCAGAGAAAAGCATTCCATTCTCCTGCTTCCCTAAAAGGCTTAGTTGATGCCGAGCTGTTCTTATAAAAGGCCACCAACCATTTCGGCTCCTGTGCAAATGCAGAGGATCTGTGCCTCCAGTATCCGTGCATCGTCCAGTTCTGACACCAGGTAAATGAGGGGCAATGTCTTGGTTTGGGAAGGAGGAGGTGAAGTAAACTCGAGCAGACCCGCTTACACATATATTTGTGTGGTTGTATATTATAGGAAATAACCTTTTCCCTCCCAAATCTATAAGGACATGCAGGATTTATCCATAGAGATATAAGGAAGAATCACATTCATCCTCTGGATTTAAAGAAAAGAAAAGAAAATGTTTCCATTTAATTAAACAGTGGGTAGACCCGTGCATTAACTTCAGTTGCAGTAAATTAGGTTTGAAGGTCGACACAACTTTCTTTTCTTTCTTTCTTTTTCTTTCTTTCTTTCTTTCTTTCTTGATCTGTTAACAGTAGAAAGTCAAGCATCTCTTCTGTATCTTATACTCTTTTCCAGACAATTTAAACTGCAGCTGATAAAAATCATCATCAGCCTACAGTTATATGAACTATTATTTCACTTGTCAAGGATAATTTCCATGCTGAGATGTACAAACACACTTTAACACTTGCACTTTTAATTTATTTTAACAATTTTATATGCTGCCTTTCTGTCCCCACTTGGAACTCCAAACTGTTGTATTAATCAAAATGCCACCATGCACATCCTCAAGGCGGTGCAAGCAAGGCCTAACCCAAGCTCCTAACTGTGTTTGATTACGCCAAAGTAACACTGTAACTTATCTTAGCTGCAATATATTATATTGTATTGTTTTATTTATTTTGTTATAGTAAGCCATTCTGAAAGAAAGGGTATGTAAGAGATGCACATTGTACAAGACTATGAATCTTTGTACTGGAAAAGTTGAAATATTATGAGGAGAGGGAAAATGTGCGTTCTCCTCAATGGGCATATAGGAGGCATTTCTTCGCCAGGGTTTTGGACGACAGGATTAATATCAAGAATAGCCAGGGCTCTGCTTTTCTACTTCCACCAAGCAAGTGTGTCAGGGGTTGTGGAATGGTTCACTGACATGGAGATGGCCCGCCAGAAAGTATCATGTGAAAAACCCTTTCAAATCTAGTCAAGAAATGTGGAAAGTTTGATTTTGATATGGCAATATGAATAGATTGGATGTCAGTACAGCATATTTTATGTTTCTCCTTCCCCTCCTTTCTCCCCCCTTACATCCCCCTTTCCCCTCTGTATCCCATACCTTTATCCCAAGTTATTAATTTAAAAAAATCTAGTCAAGAAACAAAAAAGAGGAGTGAATCATTCAAATCATTGGCAATGCTGGCCTCCATGTACAAGAGAGAGCAAAGTGAGGAGGAGAGAGTTCATCACTCCAAAGAGCCACGGAGGGACGCCCAGTACATACCTCCTGCTATATTTCTAGCTGTTCCTGGTAGCAGATGTCTCTAGAAAGGGTGTTGAATGCTTGGTTTCACACCTAAGGCTAAGAATAAAGGCGTTCCTTCACAGTTTTTAGGGTTCGGGTGGGGGGAGAGAGAAGACTGTCTCTATATTTTCGCTTCAGGCCTGTGAGATTTTTCTCTCCCACCCACCCCGCTGCTTCTTTATCTGAGCCTCAGCAAAATAATTTCTTTAAAGCCGCTTGACTGAAAATATTTGATCTTTCTGCAGAACTGAAATTCAAACCCCCATCCACCCTTTCTCTAAAAGCCACTGTACGTTTGCACTGGTTAAAAAGACTGATTAAATAAAAGTGCCTCCTTCTTTCGTGTGTCCCCCCCCCCTCCATGAAATGAGACGGAAGAAGACTGACCAAGGGCAGGATTCTGTGATTGAATTGGCTTCTTCCCATAAAGCTTCTGGCTCTATGGCACTGGCTTTGCTTGCTCACGGCCCTGAGGAATGGCCTGGCCCCATTGGAGAAGTGATAAGGCAGCACAAATTTAGTTGCTCTAAAGAGCTCAGGTGATAACAGCACATCTTGTATGCAGTTCAAGCAAATGATGTCGATGCAAAAAAGTCCAGAGCCGACCTAGTGATTGGCCAAAAAAGAGAGATGGTTTAAACACATTCTGAACTCCAAAAAACTAAAACGAGTGTTTGTTCTTGTGTTGTGTTTAGAGGCGAGATAATCATGAGGATTTATTAGCAGACGTAAACATCCTGTCTTTCCCTCCCTGGTGTTTTGCACATTTTTAATATGTGATAATCATTGGCTCCAGGCCCTTTCATGTGCTTGTGCGAGGCAAGCACCAGTTCCTCGTGTTGGATACACGTGGCAGAGCTGCAATCAATACATGAGTTTGTTTCTTTTGATAGCGTGCCACTAAAGAGACACGTAATGTGTAAAGTAGCCCTTGATGCAGGCAAACCTGAAAATGCTGTGTATAAATGTTTCAGTATCAGATGCCAGAATCCTTACTTTCACAATCACAAACGTAAACATCCCCTTGGCTCCTCTACATCTATCAGACCTCGCAGTGGTGAAATTGGGCGCACAACAACAACAGAACGACACAGCCGGCCCCAACCGTTAGGCAAGGCGTGGGAGCCGCAGATTTGGGTGTCACAGAAAGGCAGCAAATGGCTAACCATTTAATTTACTATTGCATTTGTTTGATAAATGTTTGTGAGATTTTCTATCTCTTATGTCAAAATAATTTAGCTGATCGGGTACAAAATGGTTAATTGGGTGACTAGGGAGTACCATTTGGTGGATTGCCTCAGGTTCCAAAATGTTTTGGACCAGTCCTCTGTTTAAATGCCTGGTAAATCATCAATCACAGTGTTTCCCTGTTGATCTTCTTTTTGTTTTCTTCAGACTATCCAAAGGAAATACAGTAATGTGTACCCTTTCAGCTTTGTTTATATTATGTATTTCTGTTCACTATATTCTTCTTCCTTCAAGAATCTCTGGCAATGCACATAAGTTCTCTCTCCTCGTCTTTTTTCCACTTAGGAACCCTCTGAGGTAGGCTAAGTAGATTCTTGGCCCAAAGTCACCCAGTGATTTTTATGACTTGTAAGCACTTGAACCCTAGATTTTCAGAGCCTTTTTACACAAGCTTGTGTGTACATGCCTAAGCACGAACGCACGAACGCACGCACGAACGAACGAACGTGCGCGTGCGCGCACGCACGCACGCACACACACACACACACACACACACACACACACCATCCCTCCTGAGACTAGAATTGTTTGACTGTCTGAGAGGAGTCAGCAGCACAGCTTATGCTTGTTTAATGTCTGCTGCTTTTTGAGCCTTTGCTGAGTCAAAATGTTTAAAATAAAAAGTTTGAGGGGTAGGGAGGCATGGAGGTCTGTTGCAGCTTCTTTGATGTGTAAAGTTAACAAAACTTCAAATAGAGACCTGAAAAAAATGGCAAAATGTGCCTCTGAGCATGTGTGAAGTATCTTTCCCTCAGTGGCCAGCTTGCAAGTGTAGATCTGAAAAATGAAATTAAGGACCTAATAGCCTGAAATTGACAGTCAAAAGAAGAGGCTTTGAAGCTATCTTTTTTTTTCTTGTGAAGAAATGAAGCAGTGCCTTCTGTTTGCCATTCTGAGGATGATGCATGAACAAGCAGTGTCGGAGCATGCCCAGACTGGCCATTTTCGTGCAAGCTGGTGCAATCTCAGGCATCTAGACCTCAAGCAACCCTATTTCCAGTATCCTGAAGCAGCAAGTTTGTGCAAAGCCAGAGTCTGACAGAAAGGAAGTGGGGAGGGTGCAGTGTGGCAGGGAAGGGCAGGCAGCAAAGGCGGAGAAAGAGGGAGAGGCAAACTACCTGTGGGGGGGTCCAAGGGGAGAAAAGCGGCCAATCACCCTCCAAAAGCAGACGGACACCTGTCTGTCCTTTACGCTCCCCTTTGGTTATGGGAAATTTGGAGGAGGTAGAGAAGGAAGGAGAAAAGAGTAGGATGGGTAGAGAAGAGGTGCATGCAATCACACACACACACACACGAAACTCACCAGTGGAGAAAAAAGGGATTTTACACATACACACACACACACACACACACACACACACACACACACATTGCACCTTGCATTGAACACACACAGAGAAAGAGAGAGAAGAAGAAGAGATGGGGATTGCTTAGAGAACACAAAGCAGATTAAAAAGGAAAGGTGTGTGTACAGCCAAACAAGAGACCTCATCAACAGGATCTCTTGTGTGTGTGTAGAAAATAAAGGAGACTGTTGTGGATCCATGCAGACCTCTCTGTTTGCACTTGACTTTCCAGCTGTGTGTTCGCCTTTTCTTCCTCTCCTTTGCAAGCAACAGACACACCTCCCATTAAAAAAAAAAGAGGAGGGGAAAAGTGTGTGTGTGTGTGTGTGTGTGTGTAGAACCAAAATGTCTTCCTTTGCTTTCTTAAGAGTTTCATCTGCAGAAATCCTAAAGCATCTTGCTTATTAAACCACTTCCCGCTGTTGGAAATTGACAGCACACAGAACCTTGGCAGTTTTGACAGCCTCAACGCTCGATTTTAGTCCGTTCCCATCAACCACGTGTGCTGAGAACGGACTGAGCACCAACTGGTGTCAAAAAAAGTAGAGGCCCCTGAGGGGCTCAAAAAAGGTGCAAGTTGGGGTGCCCTGGGGGCAGCTTGGGGCGAATTGACCCTCTCATCGTGCGGACGGTGGAAGAAAGAGCAGATCAGTTGACCCCAGCGGTGCACCAAACAGCAGGACAAACGCCTGTCTAGATGTGCTCTCAGGGAGAAAACTGCCTCATGGAGGGTCCTGAGGGGAAAAGCTAGAAGTGAACTTTTGCCCCGTTGTGGAAAAGTGAAATGGTGCAGAAGATGTATAAAGGAATACATGTACTGTAATGGTTTCTCTTTTTCTCCAGTGTACGCAGAGTGTGACTTCTCAAAATGACAGAACAGTGAGTAATTTTACTCTTATTATTATTGTTATCAATGGAAGGGGGTTGGTATGCAGTTTTCAGTGGGATATTTGGATTCTTTGTGAGCAATGCCTACAAAAGAAAGAAACATCGAGACTATAATCCAGAACCTTCCATATGCACAGGAAGGAAAAGTGTACCAGCTTTGAGGGAAGCTGGAGAAAGCAAAGGTTTCTTAAATCGGGAGTAATCCTACTTTTACTTGGGGCTGTAAAGATGACAAAACTTGTTTTTAACTTTAAAAGGCCTACTGAGAGAAAGGTTGGTTAAATCTAAAAGGATTGTTTTCCTGTTCTTTCTGACTGATCTGCCTCTGTTTATCTTTCACAGGGAAGAAGTCACTGTAAGTGCCAAAAAGGAGCATCTTCAAGACTGAAGAAAATTCTGTCCGTCTGTCTTTTTCTTTTCCTTCAGAGAGAAGGAATTTACTAACATAACTCTGGTTTTAGAATGTATAGCAAACAAGAGAGAGAGCGAGAGAGAGCGAACGAACAAACACAAGAGTCTCACAGTGCCATTAAGACTAGCAGATCAGGGTGCAATCCGAGGGACATTTAGCCTGTTGTTCAGTTCCACTGTGGGGAGGGTTTGGTTTGTTCCTTTTCCTGGCAATCAGATGACATAATTGCTGGAGCAAACCAAATCATCCCTGGAGTGTTTGTGCACACACCTTTCTAATCACCTGTCAGAGGCTTCTGCTTTTTTGGTGAGGATAAGGTAAAGGTAAAGGTTCCCCTTGACAATTTTTGTCCAGTCGTGTTCGACTCTAGGGGGCGGTGCTCATCCCCAGAATGTATAGCAAACAAGAGAGAGAGCGAGAGAGAGCGAACGAACAAACACAAGAGTCTCACAGTGCCATTAAGACTAGCAGATTAGGGTGCAATCCGAGGGACATTTTAGCCTGCTGTTCGGTTCCACTGTGGGGATGGTTTGGTTTGTTCCTTTTCCTGGCAATCAGATGACATAATTGCTGGAGCAAACCAAATCATCCCTGGAGTGTTTGTGCACACACCTTTCTAATCCCCTGTCAGAAGCTTCTGCTTTTTAGTGAGGATACGCTCGCTCTAATTTTGTTTGTTTCCAGCATGTGTGATTGCTGGGAACAGACCAAGTTCAAACTTGTGACTTTAAATTTCCCTTTCAATTTCCCAATATTGTTGGTGAGGATAGGCTTGCTCTAATTTTGTTTGTTTCCAGCATGTGTGATTGCTGGGAACAGACCAAATTCAAGCCCATCAGTTGCCAAGGCTCAATCCAGTTGGAATTTCTGATATTGTGAAGTGGCTTAATAAATGAGCGAGTTCAGCATATCAGCAAATTGAACATTTCTTCTCTGCTTCTCTGAAGTGGGGGCAGAAGAAGTGAAATTAAAGGGCCAGTCAAGAAACTGGCCACAGTCGAATACATGGACTTGGCTGTAGGCAGTTTCTTGGCCAGTCTTTTAAGATGAAGCAAAGAAATTTAGTTATTTTTATTTTTATTTGTTTAAATTTTTTTTAACTTCCTCTGTCTATCTACCGAGGAGGTATTCAATTTGCCAGTATCCTGAAGTGGCTCTCTTATTAAGCCACTTCACAATATTGCGAATTCCAGGACAGCCAGACCAAATAAGGGCATTTGCTTTGATATACCATTTGGATACAAGGATTGCATCAAATGGCATATCACGTTTCCACCTGACACAAAGTGACCCTACCTAGCCCACATCAGCCCTCTCAGAAAGAGCCCATCTGATTGTACCCTTGGTTTCAGCATGAGCTGTCATGATTTACAATCCATAGCCTTTTCCTCCACAAGTACTAAATGCACAGTAAGTAAGATGGTAAAACACATTATAAAATAATTGTTATAAAAAATTAGTAAAGTCCATCCTTGTTAAGCAACTGTGAGTATTCAGTCTCTATAGACAACCCACAATAGTGATCTCTTCAGACATGGTCAATGTGACTATCAGTTTTTTTTATCTCCCCTAACTACTAAATTGTAACTTTAACTGTCAAGATAAACTTTGCAAGAGCTTTTCTGCTACATCTTGGAGGCTGGCTCCTTGGAAAATGGACTTGCAAGAGATCACCTGTATCAGCTCAGGTTGGAATGTAATGTTCTTTTAACCCTAACACTAAAATCAGATTTGAAATGGAGATGTTGTCATGGAAAGCTTAGATAAGAGCAATGGTGGCTAACCATCTCAGGTGCTGTTGTATTGCAATTCCCATAACCCTAGCTAGACCAACAACATCTCGGGGCACAAAACTGAAAACCACTGGATTAGAAGACACCTCATAATTGCCTCTTTCCTCCCACAAAAACTCATTAGAACAATTCTAGGCAATGCCTGTTTTCAGTTTCAAAGCATTAGCTCCATTGTTATCTAGTGACTATATCACAGAATGAACATAAAATAGAGAGGTCTGGCATAAATGAAGTCCTGATTTGACCAAAGGTTTAAAATGCCCACCTTCCAAAAATTTTAAACCAGCTTGTGATCTCCAGATGTTACTCAATTTCTGGCCCTTCATTATGCCAGCTAGGGCAGAAGGAGGTTTTAGCCCATCATCTGGAGAACCAGAAGCTGTTCAACCCTGATATAAGCTATCAGTAGAAGGTTTAAATTATCTTCATCATACTGCTCCATAATTTACTCACACCATCTGTGAAAGGGGCATGCTTAGAGCCTGAGGAAGTGGATTTTATCCATGAAAGCTTGCTGTTTGTTTTATTTTTAAGGTCCAATAAAAGGTGGGTAAAAAATCAAGAACATTTAAAGGCAACACCCCTCCCCCAATATGTATTAAAGTTATCTCACCATATGTTCCTTATGGCATTTTTAAAAAGACCATGTGACAGTGAGCAGAATGAAATTGATGCAGCTTTTACTTCCTCAGTATGAGGAGGAGGAGGAAGAGGAATATGTGGAAGAGGAAAATGAAGAAACTGTAGTAGAGACAAAACAAGAACCACCGCCACCCAAGCCTGCCCCTCCACCCCCTCCTCCTCCTGCAGCTGCCCGTCCCCTCCGCCGAAAGTCTTCTGCTAATTATCGAGCATATGCTGTTGAGCCTCATGATAAGGTAAGTTCCTGGGTAGAGACTGACATGAACTGGTTTGTCCCCCTTTGTAAAAGCGGCCCTCCTCAACTGATCTTCTAGTCCCGGCAACAGCTCCGGCTTCTTTGTGCACCCTCTGGACTCCTTTCCTATTCAGACAAAAGGGTGGGGCAGAGACGTCTGTGCTCTTGCTTGTGACTGGGAGATCACCTTGCAAGCAAGCTGGGCCTGATCAACTGAGGAGGCAGGGCAGGGGAGTAGCAGCGTCTGTGCTGCCGCCTTTACGGACCGGTTTGTGCCCATCTCTTTTCCCGACTCTTTTCAAGCTGTGTTGATGGTAAAAGCGTCTGTGCTGCCACCTTTACGGACTGGTTTGTGCCCATCTCTTTTCCTGACTCTTTTCAAGCTGTGTTGATGGTAAAATTGGGGAAAATGGAATAGAACTGCACAAAGTCACATTGAAATGACTCAGATGAGGGCAGACCAAATGCAGGGCATATTGATCCTTTCTTCCTTGTCTGTTGAACTGTCTGCCTTGAGGTAAGAGTGGACTTTCCCTGCGAAGGCCTTCTGCGCTTTGCTTTATTTGAAAGAGCAATTATTCTTGTGGCTTTAAGAAGCTCGGTTAAGGATCCGATCTCCTGTACTAAACCCACCCATTTCCTTTTATTCCGCCACAGAGAAAATCCAAGATATCAGCTTCTCGGAAACTACAACTCAAGGTGAGATGGGGAAATGGATCTGCCGGGGATTGGAATGGGCAAGGAGCCGTGCCAGGATGAAGTAGGGGGTAACAATGGCACAGTGGGCAAGATTTCAGAGAGGTGGAAGGGGCAGAGAAGCAGGCGAGAGACAAAGTAAGTGGTGGAAGGAAAGGGGGGGGTACATAGAGAAATATGTTGAGAGTTTGGAGTAGGGAGAGCACACAATAGTTGGTGCAAGAAGCAAGTTGTACAACGATCACTTCAGCAATGGCATATTCGTAGTGTTGTAGGAATGAATGAAATTAAGTAGAGTAGGACCCCCTGATCTACAAGATCAGTATCTGCTGATTCACTTATCCATTGTCTCAAAATATTAGAAATACTAAAAGAAAAATCCCATAAACATATATTTCTAATGATGAAGTTACCAGAACCAGCCACTAGAGGGAACCAGAGACCATGCTGTGTTTAGTGTTCACTGTTATATTAGCATTTGCTACGATACACATTTTTCAGCATCCAGGGGGGTATTGGAAACGATCCCTCATGGATACGGGGGTCCTACTGTAAACTTAAAGTGCTCTGATATAACTATGCGTCTCTTCTCTTTACCCCAGTCAATGATGCTCCAGGTGGCAAAACAGGAAATGGAAAAAGAGGAAGAAGAGCATGCCAGAGAGAAAGAACGATATCTTACAGAGCACTGCACCCCATTAGAACTGGCAGGCCTTGGTCTCACAGAGCTGCAGGTAACTGGGGTGTGTGTGTGTGGATGGCAGAAGGATGGGAGTAGTATAATATTACTGATGGGGTTACCCTAAGGATGAGTTCCAGCCCATGCCAATAGGTGCAAATTAGTAGGTTATGCAAAGATGCGTCCCCTATCCATGGGGTAAATTGTCTGGAGCCCAACTAGAAAAAAAATACTATTTGATATTTAGCTGTATCATCATACTGTAGTGTCCAGTTCAAGGGAAGTAATAGGACTACTGTGTTCTGCATTTGTCAGAACTTACCAGGAATCCTGTGTGCACTTCTGGACTCCACAGTTTAGGAAGCAGGATATCAACAAGATGGAACGCATCCAGAGGAGGGTGGCCAGGATGATAAAGGGTCTGGATACCAAATCTGACAGGAGCAGTCAAAAGAGCTGTTTTAATCTTGTAAAGCTGTCTTTGGAGACGGAGGGCTGTCATGTGGAGGATAGAGCAGCAACCTTGTCTTCTGCAGCTCCAGAGAGCAAGACCCAAAGTTACAGATTTCAATTATGGGAAAAGAGATTGTGACTCAACATTAGGAAGAACTTTGTAACGGTGCAAGCTATTCAAGAATGGAATGAGCTGCCTCTTAGAGTGACAGATTCCACAATACGGGTGGTGTTTAAACAGAGGCTGGATGGCCACCAGCCAGGGATGCTTTAGATGGGGGGTTTCCTGCTTCGCCAGGGGGCTAGTCCTGATGACTCCTGTGGCCCCTTCCAGCCCTAGTCTTCTATGGTCCTATGATTCTGTCTTTGTTCTTCCTGTGGAAAATCCTGTACGGAGAAGGAGGAGATACAGACATGGAAGCTGTTTCCTTCTCTTATCCAGGTGAGTTTGGCTAGACTGAGTGATTCCCCAACAAAGCCAAGGCGGGGAATTCAGTTCCCTAGTTTGCCTCCCTGACAGAGTGACTCTTAGGGTCCCTTCTTGCTATGTGGAGCCAAGGGCGGGGAATTCAATTCCCTAGTGTGCCTCCCTGACAGAGCTTTGACTCAGCGACTCTTAGGGTCCCTTCTTGCTATGTGGTCCTACGATCATTATTATTTGTGACTGTTCTCTGAGCAGGGTCTTCCTTTACTGTTCGTTCTGAGTGTGAATCCTGGCTCAGCTTAAGCTTTGCTCAACTTGCGTCTTCTTGCCGTTCCCCTCTGACAGGAGTTGTGCCGGGAGCTCCACAGAAAGATTGACAAGGTGGACGAGGAACGCTATGACACAGAGGCCAGAGTCAACAAGAGCATCAATGAGGTGAGGCTGGGATCCATTTGTGTGAAGCAGGGCTTGGCGTGAGGGCTGGTCTCCCTTTGGGAAAGAGAAGGCAGAAGAGAACCAAGCATCCTTGAAATGATTCAGCTTTTTCAGTTTGGCATTTGCATTATAGATGTGGGAGAGAGAGAGAGAGAGAGAAGGCACTAATGATACATAGACAATGAGGCAAAATATTAGCCACCAATGATACATAGACAATGAGGCAAAATATTTCAGGAGGTTATCCTGTCTCACAGGGCTGTTGTGTAGATAAAATCAGGGAGAATAAAATACATGCTACACTGATGCTACACTTGCAAGAAATGTAATTTTTTTTTAAAAAAAACTATGCCTGGGAAGTTTAAGTTTAAAGGGAGCATAACAAGGATCAAAGGAAACAATGGGGAAAAAAAACAACCTGTGTCACTTGTGGAAAATGGACAATACTATGGACAGCCAGTAGGTGTCAGAGTTCGACTGCTTTTGACCCTTGGCATCCCTGTAAGGGCACAATCGGATCCACTCTGCTCCAGTGAAGATAGGAAGGGCAACAAGATTTCAGACACCCATCCCATTAATTCATGAGAAGTGACTGAAGCAGTCTCTTGGCTCTGAGAAGTATCTGAAGCCTGAAAACGAAGCAGTAAATAAATAAATAAATAAATAAATAAATAAATAAATAAATAAATAAATAAATAAATAAATAAATAAATAAATAAATAAATAAATAAATAAATAAATACCGGTGAATGAATGAATGAATGAAAGCCAATGAACAGGCAATCGTAAACCACATCCAAGTATTCTCTACCTAGAAAACCCTGGAAAGGGTTGCCATACGTCAGAATTGTCCTGATGGCACATAGCTATTATTATTAATTTGCAAAAGGGGCTGTTGTGACAATCACATGTGATCAGCACTCAAGGCATTCCCTCCTCTAGGGGCAGGTATCTGTACCTTATAGTTGGTCCACTTGTTTTCTTCATTAAAAGAGAATACGGGAGAGTGAAAGGCTGCTGAAACCTCTCGCATCTTCTCTGTCCTCTGTGTATTGCCTTGCCGATTTTTCTCTCTGTTCATACTCCTTTCCAGCACCAGAAATAGGAGCCTGCTTTTGAAAGGGAGTTAGACAACAGACAAACCAATCCATAAAGCTGTAAACCACATTGGAACAAGTCTTCAGTCCCAGTTTCCATTTCAGAACCCAAAATACCCTTTCCAGTTGCAGAGACTCTTGTGTTGACATCTTCATTAGGCAAACCTCAGTGATGATGATGATGACGATGATTTTGGACTATAAGAATCCTTCATCCTACAGAGCCGGTGGGGATCCGTGGCCTTATAGATAAAATATTATTCCATCATCCTGCTCTACTGGCTGAGGGAAACTAGAGTCAAAAACATCTGGAGCACAGCTTGGAAAACACAGGCTGAGTTCAAGAAAGGTGATATTTTTTCACTCCCTGCAGCAACCTTTCTTCTCTAGCTGTTAAATGTGAACAGGCTCCCTCTCTTCTTGCTACAGATCGAGGATTTAAACCAGAAGATCTTTGACCTGAGGGGCAAATTTAAGCGCCCGACACTCCGCCGTGTCCGTCTCTCGGCTGATGCCATGATGCAGGCCCTTCTGGGCTCCAAGCACAAGGTCTCCATGGATCTACGGGCCAATCTGAAACAGGTCAAGAAGGACGATACAGAGAAGGTGAGGCTGAATAAGCAGGCAGACTATGGGCAGGGAAGGAAAAGAGGGAACGGAACGGAGAAGGAGGAGGAGATGGTTCTCGATTTGGTGGAACTCCATGATCTCCAGGGCAGTGGTTCCCAACCTTGGGTCCCCAGATGTTCTTGGACTAAAACTCCCAGAAGCCTTCACCACTAGCTGTGCTGGCCAAGATTTCTGGGAGTGACAGTCCAAGAACATCTGGGAACCTAAAGTTGGGAAGCACTGCTCGGGGGTGAGAGGAATGAAAGGTGTAAGAATACAGATCCTCCATCATTGCTCCAATGTCACAAGGCTCTAGGGGAAAGCATGGGTGGCACAGAGACACCGTGAATCCAAGATGTTTTATCTCCAGAAGCTGAGAATATGCAGGTGGTCCATCCTACTCCGCATGCAGCAGCTGACTGGCCTAGCAGCTGAATCATTCTTCAACGCTGGCAATGAGGCAGTGCCCACCTTTACTCTGAAAAGAGCAGGCTAGCTTAAGGCTAGTGGGCCAGCTGCCCAGCACACTGCGCCCTCCCTGGGTTAAATATAGAAGTGCAGGAATTCACAAAGCAGGATAGTTTGAAGCTCCCCAGAGTAGACAGCCCCCTTTTCTCACTAAATGGCACTTACAGTCTTAATAACTTACTCTGAGATATTAATAGGAGAGAGAATAAAAGCTTTTGGTACTTACAGTTGAACAGATGAAAGAGCAAACTGATGAGCATGACTGCTTTCGATAGCAGACTTCAACAGACTCACTGACTGCTTCCAACAGATTCAGGAGATGTAAAAGGGCCGCTAAGCAGAGAGGCGGGGCTCTCTTTGAATTCAGAGGCAGGTGGGAACTTATTGGTTAGTGGTGGATAGATTGACAGTCATCCCAGCCCAGAAAGGTCCCTCCCAGCCACACCTACTAGAGGTAGCATGGGAGGTGGTAAAAACTCCAACACATGACAACAGTTCCTTTACCTAACATCGCCTACCCATCTCAGCTGATCTGTCCTCCTCTTGCAGGAGAATCGGGAGGTGGGTGATTGGCGGAAGAACATTGATGCTCTGAGCGGCATGGAAGGGCGTAAGAAGAAATTTGAGACCTCTACAGCAGGGCAGGCCTGAAAGCCTGAGGTGAGAGCAGTCCCCTTGGGGGTGCATGAATGAAAGGAGATGTTTTGATTGTGTTCAGGGGCTTGCAGCTTTGTGCAAGTCTGCCACTAGGAAGGAGGTCATGTCCCTTGAGGATTATTCCAAACCGGGGGGGTGGGGACACAGAGGTTTGGAATGGCCATACTTGTAATTCTTTAACGCTGGTCATGACGTCTGGCTTCTGGGAACTGAGGTTCAAATGATTCCCCACTCCATTCTAGCTTCTCTTCCTTCCATCTGCAGCTTTTGTTGAAAGAATTCTGCTTCAGTACTCTAGCCATTTACCTGCTGTGAACCACCTTAAGTCTCCTATGGGGTTGAAAGGTGGCCCATAAATAAGATCAGTCAGTAAGAGTAAGGTCCACTGAAATCTATGGGACTTCCTTCTCAGTAGGTGTATGTAACATGAGACTGGCTGGATAGCTGTCTACTCTGGTTTAGGCATCCAGCTGCAGAGCCCGAGGTTGGGAGTTTGATTTCCCACCTGGGCCTCCTGCAAGTAGAGACCCAGCCTGTGTGGCCTTGGGCAAGCTGCACAGTCCCAGAAAAAAGGAATGGTAAACCACTTCCGAGTGCTCTCTATCTAGAAACCCCTAAAAAGGGTTGCCATGAGTTAGAACTGACTTGACAGCATATGATGATAATGATGACAATGACAATGATGACATAGGTCAACAATTGTCAACTGTAGCTTTTTAAAATATCATCAGTGCAGCATGAACATGTGAACAAAAATGTTGCACTATTTTGGCATGCTATCCTTTCCTCTATAGGCATGTATATTCTTTCTCCTTCTGTATAGACAATTATCATTTTTTAAATTTCAACCCCACTCACCCCAAAACCAGCACATGATTTACAGAGGAGGTGGAAACACTGTTCAAATGCATTGCCTGGATATACAGGGCCAAGCTTTCTTCCCCAAATCAAGGTGATTTTTGACTACAACTTCTTTAAACCTACCCCCTACTGTCCATTCTGGATGGGGCTGATGGTGGTGGTTGTCAGCAACATCAAAAGGGCACCATCCGGGGTGAGGTGGGGAAATAGCTATATCCTGGGAACCAATGGCTTCTAAGAGATCTTTTAAAAGAAACACAGAGAAAGAGCATGAGTGTCGTGGTACAAAATCCAACATTTAAAAAACCTTACAGAGCTAACTTGGAAGGCTCCACTCACAAAGGAGCTGAAGTTGATCAGACACAAAAGATGGGGACATTGTCTGCTACTTGCCCAGACTTAATCACAGGAAATGATTACCATTTTAATGAGAGGGAAGTTTTATTGCAATAAAATCAAGAAGCAGAGACATCACTATGGAGCAGTTAGATATTTAAAAAAATCGCTGTTCCCAGCTTGTTGCTATCCAGGTTTGTCAGGCTGTCATTGATGGGGTTTGTTGTCTGACATATTTTGAGGAGGGGAAATCAGTTTGGGGAAAGCTGTCTTAAACAAAGAGGCAACATGTCATACCTTAAAGACCCATTCATTTGGGTATCAGCTGTTTTGGACCAGCATCCAAAGATTATTGGATGCTGGAGATGCTCAGATAAGCCCCAGTTGTGCAAATCATAAGTCCAGAAGGGCCAATTCTGACATTGTTCTACAAACAATGGAAATACACAATGTTCATTTATTTTCACACAAAACTATCCCCAAAATACACATTTTATATGCAGTTTTCTATAAGATATACATTTTCTTATGCAGTTTTAAAGACCACAATGGTACTGTATAATTTGGGAAAGTATAGCATTCAGATGATAACTATGCTCTGATCTGTGCATTAGTCTGAGGTGCATCAACTCAATTCACTTAAAAATGCACAACAAACAAAATTCTGTGATGAGGATACTTAACGTGATTTGTTTACCTCTTCCATGAGTAGTTGCAACCCTTACAGCTATCCTATAAGGTGGTGGTTCCCAGCCTTGGGTCCCCAGATGTTCTTGGACTAGAACTCTCAGAAATCCTGGCCAGCACAGCTAATGGTGAAGGTTTCTGGGAGTTTTAGTTCAAGAATATCCAAGGACCCAAGACTGGGAACCACTGCTATAAGGCAAGTCTTTATTTTTCCCCATATTTCAGATGGAGGATTTCCACTTGAGAGAGAAAAAATCTACCCTGGGAGTTCATGATGCAGGCAGAGATTCCAGCCAAGAGGTTCATGACGCACAGCTTGATCTTGTGCAATGCTGTGATATGAATGAAGAAAGAAATAGCTTGATCTCATACCAACTACAATGTGCCAGGTCATAAGGGAAATGCCAACACAGTCAAGCGTTGATTTCAGGATGCTCCCTTGGGTTTTTCTTCTTTTTTGCAGATGGACCCCCTGAGAAGCAGTCACTGTGGAAATCAGCCTGCACAAAGACCTTCCATCCTTGAATGCATTATCATTCCCTGCGATTTCAATTCCTATAAAAGAAACTTGGAAAATGCATAGTGACAGCTTGTTATCCCTGTGAGGAAATTCCATTTAGAACTAGACTCTTGTTTTTGCTAAAGCAGACTAGATTTGAAAGGACCCTGAGAGAGATTAAATGTTAGAACCCAAGTTTTGCACACACAAAAATTCTTGGCACCATTATCAGAATCTACAGGGCAAGTGTAGAATAGTTTGATATATCCATCTGTCACTCAGTCTGTCTTTTACATTAAAGATACAGGTGTTCTTATACTAAGGTGCAACTATACAGTGAGAAAAATGCAAATGGATCTGTTGTTAAGTTGCACTGCGAAGTTAGGTTTCTCTGGGTCAGTTTGCTTCACACACACCAGAGTCAGCAGAGAGGGGAGGAAATTGGTACTTCAGCCTTGTTTCCAGCTGATTAAGGTGATTCTGTTCTGGCCATCCAGATTTGTGAGAGGCATGCTTAGAGTACAGCTACCATAACAAGCTAGAAACAAGGTCGAGTGATGCCTCCTTCCTCGCTGTCAGTGCTGATTTTTCTCTCTTCTATTTCTTTGGTCCCCTAACTGTCTTGGTGCTAGGATAACCACTAGAGATGGGGGTATTTGTATTACCTGCACCACAGGTGCACGTAAGGAGGATACGGCCCCCTGGGGCCAGACCGACCACTCACGATTCTGCTGCAAGCTAGAAACAAGGTTGAGTGATGCCTCCTTCCTCGCTGTCAGTGCTGATTTTTCTCTCTTCTATTTCTTTGGTCCCCTAACTGTCTTGGTGCTAGGATAACCACTAGAGATGGGGGTATTTGTATTACCTGCACCACAGGTGCACGTAAGGAGGATACGGCCCCCTGGGGCCAGACCGACCACTCACGATTCTGCTGCTGCCATGATTTCCACAATCCATTTCTATTGCTCCATTGCTCACGGTGTATTAGCTACTCCTGGTAGAAGGTGGGATGACAAGCCTCTTTGTCAGGTTGAAGAGTGGCTAATCCATTGCGAGAGAAACTCTGTGCTGATTCGCATTGACTTGTGCGTCATGCAGTCAGTGGAAAATAATGTGAATTTGACCATCCCAGTTTTGGAGTATTTCCTGCAGTAATTGCCAAGGTAGTCACCCCCTAAGAGAGATCTTCCACAAGGGGGTAGAAAGGGCTTTTCATGTGATTGCAGCCCGGCCTGGTATTTTTTTTTCTCCTAGAATGGGTATCTTATTCCTTTAGCCATCAAACCACAAGTGAATTTTCATCCCAAAGCCTTGTGGGTGTGGGTGAAGCCGAAAACCATCTTAAGCTGGCCAGATAGTACATCCTTTAGCACCACTGATATGTTCAGAAAAACCATCTTAAGCTGGCCAGATACATCCTTTAGCACCACTGATATGTTCAGTTTGTTTGTTGCGACCGTTGTTTCTCCTCCTGGCTGTTGCTTCAGTGCCATTTTAAAGGAGAATTTCTCTTTCCTGGAAATGTCCACAGTACAGAGGGATCATGACCACACCACGATGCCACCACACCAATCAGATCTGGCTGCATAAAGTGATCACTAACCCAGCTCATGGTGAGGGCAACGCCCTGTTTCATCTTGCCTCTAAAACTCCCCAAACCGGGGAGGTGGTGAAGTTTAGCTCTTGGCCTAAATCCAAGGTAATCCAGACTGGTGTAGACCCACTGAATGAGTGGTTGAATGGGTAAGTCAACACTTGCATACATATATCCCATTGATTCAGTGGGTCTGTCCTAACTCAGAATAACAGTAGGGCTCCACACATCACTAATGGAAGCTCTTGCAAAGCATGGCCCCCATGCCTTTTGTTTCAACTCAGTTTAAAGGCCCTCAGGGAAGGACTGATGAAAGAGGAAGCAATCCGCTCCGAACCAAGCTGGACTTCGCTCTGCTAGATCTTTCTGATCCTCGGGAGCAACCGTCTATGCAAGTGGTATTATTTCTCGTGCTGTGCAGATGGTAGGGAACAGGAGAACTGGTATTTGCTCTCCTCTGTGTTTATAACAATGTGCCAGCAAGTCAATTCTGTTTTATGGCAGCCATTTTAAGGGTTTTCCAGACTGCTGGAGGTGCTCTGGGACTTGCAGCTTGTTCAAGGCCACACAGGCTCGCTCTATTTGCAGGAGGCCCCGAGGGGAATCAAACTCTCTTCTTCTGATTCCACAGCCGCATACCTAAACCACTGAGCTACCCAGCCACCTTCTCTGTGATTAATCAGGATGATACGCATTCTTTACTGCCTCCAAGGCAGAAGTGAGATGACGCAGAATTAACATTCTATCTAGCAAGCTCAGCATCCTCTGTCATCACCTAGGATGAACAAGTGGTCAGAATTTAGAAACATTACCTTTTCCCCCCTACTCTGCTCCCAGAATATCCCTGGCAACACAACCACCAGATTTTGCAAGTTGGATTTTTAGAAACAGGAAGCTTTTCTAGGTTTTGTGAACAGTTAATATGCTACCTAGCTTTAGCTGGTGGGCATTTGCAGTCATGTAGAGCAGTGGTTCCCATCCTTGGGCCTCCAGATGTTCTTGGACTTCAACTCCCAGAAATCCTGGCCAGCAGAGGTGGTGGTGAAGGCTTCTGGGAATTGTAGTTCAAGAACATCTGGAGGCCCAAGGCTGGGGACCACTGAATTGTAGAAAACGTTAGAGTTTGCTTCCCCAAGACTATTGAAACCAATAGGGTTAAGCAGAAATTTTTGCGTGCTGAATTCTGACTGGCTGGTTTGTGAATTAGCACCCTGAAAGGGAAAGAGAGAGAGAGTACCTTATTGAATAATTTTAAATTCAAAAAAGAGAGACCAAAGGACAGAGCATCCTCCCTCACCCAAACTTGGCCATATTGACTGGGAGCGATGGAACGTGTAGTCCAACCCTGTGCAAGGAATCCTTCTAAGGAAGACTGAGGAAGAATGACAGCACTCTACACTCATATGGAATCATTGGCCAATGGCAGTTGTCAATTTTTACCTAAAGTTCACCCTGTGTGTCATTCTAGGCTTCTCCTCTCTCTTTTCATATCATCTTAATGGGGCAAGGTCAGGAAGATTTAGACTTGCTCATCTGAACTGACTCTCATTTCGCCTCTAGGCAGTGGAGGTGGTATTTGAATCCAAGGTCTTTGAACATACAAGATGTACCCAGTTTCCGATCACCTTCTCCCACGTTCACTTTGCTATACCTCCAAGCATAAATCCAAGGTATTTGAACATACAAGATGTACCCAGTTTCTGATCACCTTCTCCCACGTTCACTTTGCTATTAAGTCTGGATCAGGTGTGAAGGAAGATCGTTGAGTTCTTGCTGTAGAACTTGTTTGTGATGGTACCACAGCTATTCACCAAGAAGCCAGTTGTGTATAACTGGTACTTAAACTAAATGAAAGTTGGGTTTAATCAGACCATCTCCCGGATTCCGAAGACCATTTTATTATGGTTTATACTTTCAAATCACCACCGGCTCTATTTTTTGAAAATTGTTTTTTATTAGTGTCCATTCTAGAAATACATATCTCGACATGTAGTCCACTCTTATACCATTGACACTGTTCATTGTAAATTTAAAAAAACCAAAGAGGGAACAAGATACTAAAAAGAAAAGTTTGTCATAAAAACTGTTAAACCAGTAACATTAAGCAATCTCAGTGCTGAGAAATGCTTTGAAGGCAGTGTGCTGCTCTAAACCTTTCTATCAGCACCAAAGGCATAGTTTAATTAAAATACGATACTGGAGCATTTAAACAAATGTGATTAACGTAAGTACCCTTTCTATGAACCATCTCCTACACAGAATGGAGTTTCTGGGGGTGCTGCTGGTTTGGCACAGAGGAGCCCTGGCATCAGTAAAGAAGAGATGAGGGACATGCAATCCTCCAGTTCTTGTGGACCTCCAGATTCCCACAGTGCTACCTAGCAGAGCCAGTGATGAGGGATGATAGGACCTGTCATCCAGTGATGCCTGGAGATCATCACTTTTCTTCATCCCTTTTTAAAAGCAATGCGAACGGTGAATCTAATCAGTATAAATCTTTCTGGGAACTAATCAATTACTTCTTATATTTTATCTTCTACTGGGAGACCCAAATACAGTGCAGGTCCTTATTCTCTGCATGTGCCAGCCGTTCTAGAAAGACTGCTAATGGTAGGTTCAGAATTATTTTTTTTACTCCAGTGATCTGTTCTGATGTACAAATTGCTATTTTAGGTCCATTTTGGCAGTGCTTTGCTCCTTTTCAGGAAAGAGGGAAAGGACCATGCAAGGAAAATCTACATTACAAGATCATAATGAACATATTTGTGGTAGAGACGTAAAACTGCATCACCATGTCCTCTCCAGGAATGGAAATAAATATGGAGAAAATACAATGCACATGAAATATAATACACTTACATATTTACAGCATATATAAATAACAACATATAAATTATTTGCCAGCAAAGAGATTTTTCATGTCACATCTCTCAACCCCCCCAACCCACCAAGTTATTTTCAGATTCTTTCAATAAATAAATTATAATAATCTTAGAACTGCAGAGCTGGAAGGGACCCAATGGATCATGAAGTCCAGCTTCTATCAAGGAGGCCCAATAGGGGAATTGAACTCCCAACCTCTGGCTCCACAGCCAAAGACCTAAGCCACTGAGCTAGCCAGCAGTTCAATATATAAATCAATAGATAATAAATAAGTTATTTAAATAGATAGGAAAAATACAAATAAAACCTTGGGGGGAAAGGCTGACAAGATTAACACATATAACATAAAAAAGCAAGCAACATTCAAACCCAGCCCCCAAGAATCTTTTTCCCCCCATTGCTGGTACACTTTCTACATATAACTAGTACATCTGTCATCCATCAACTAGGATGCAGCTATGGCAGGTTCAGGATGCCAAAGTCCAAGATGTACAGTACTATAATGATGTCAGTCATTAAAGTCCATGCACCAAGCAAAACAAGTCTTCTTTCTTCTCCTCCTGTCCCAAACACTGCATTTTGTTCTACAGCCATGGAAGACAGGTATCTGTACCCTACGGATAAGACTCATATACCGTATACCCTTTCAGCCACCAAAGTCTCCCAGATTATCAGAAAATATAGCTTGGGCTCATGAAGCCAGGGTTTTGGCCCAAAATGCTCATGGGGTCCTCTGATTCAACATCCAGTGTCTGTTCATAGAAGTCGTAGTCTACAAACACGGGTTCAAGGGGGATCTTGTTGACTAGTGGTAGGAATTGGGAGAAGGGGGGTAACTGGCGACTCTGGCCCAGGATCCCTGGATTGCTGAGGCTGACCGGAATGTTGTACTTTTCTGAATAATAGAGGTTGTAGCCATCACGGAGAACTTTCTCCCGGAAGTTACATGCCTCGTCAGAGTAGGAGAGCTGGGGAAAGAAGTAATTCAAGTGAGAGGATGTCTTCTAATTTTAAAACAGGTATCTGTCTGACTCTAGTTCCTATTCCAGAACTGTAGAATGATACAGCTTTAGAAGGGGCTTCAGAACAATCTAATCCAATTCACTACATCCCTAGCAGATGATCATCCAACATCTGTTTAAACACCTCCGAAGGGTAAGCTGTCTCATTGTCAAACAACTCTTCCTGCTAAAACCTTCCTCCTAGCATTTGGCTGAAATCTGCTTCAGTTCACTTTTTACCCACTGGATGGTTTCCAGACTCCCAGGAAAACAATCTAGAAATCTCAAATGGCAGAAACAGGTTCAAGGGAATTGAGTTATTCTGTGTTCAGCCATTGTAAAATGAAACGATGATTTTACAATACCACATGGAGCTGTAGGCATATCTCATGGGTGTGTGCATTCTTTATACCAACAAATCAATCTAAGATCAGTAAGAGTTGTAGAAATGGGCAGAATAGAATTTGTAACTTTCAAATAAATATGTTAATTCCCTTCACCCCATGTGCCTGCTTATGAACTTGTTTTCTTTGGCAAACAGTTGTATATTGTATGTGCCACAATTTTTAATGGCCCTGCATGATCTCAACATTTGGTTCCGGATTAGAATGTAATGTATTTATTATAAATGTATTGCCATTTATTTATTTTTTAACCATCTACCAAGTCTTTCCATGCAGTAACCCAGCACCCAGAAAATCAACTTTTTATTTTATTTTATTTTTAAAAATAAAATATCTAGCCATTATGAGCAAGAGGAGTAGTCTGATAGTGTGCTATGAAGCTCTTCTCGTTTTAGAAGCTAAAAAAAATGACTCGTTGGGTTGATATGCTGTGATCTGCATAGCTCCTTGTTCATACTTGTATAAAGAAAATTATTCAAATTAAGAACAATTTGTGTAAATTGTCAGCTCTTGTCAAGGAATTTCAGTTATTTTGTTCCAGGAATTTGATTGAGTGATTAACTCAAAATATGTGCAGCCCATAGTAATAAATGATTTTGTCCTTTGTTAGTTCTGGAGAGTTTTAGAGGCTTGTGTAATGCACCCGGAGTGCTGCAACAATAGCAGAAATGCATGAAATCAATTTTTTGTTGTTGTTTAACCTACGGGGGAGACTCACTAATGGATCTCCCAACAAACATCTAGTTTACTCCCAGGAGAACTAGGTGTTTTGCCTTTTGAATGTCCCTCCCTAATCTACCAAACTTGGAAAGCGCTTTCCATCTTTGAACTTTCCATCTCCTTATAAGAAGGAGAAACATTTTCATGTAACATTGTTTTCGGAAAGGCCCATATTTGCAAATACAGATGCGCACAAATCAGAGAGAAAGAATTAACTGCAGCTACGTTAAGTAGCAAACAGGTTTGTCACCTAAAGTGTGGAATGGCTCTAAAACATTTATACCTTTAAGACCTGAAGATCAGGTTAATGAGCTGATTTTTCTTGTTTGTTAGTTTGTTATCCACAAAAACACACAGAAAATTGTACTTACTGAGCCATACAGATGTCCACTGGGTTTCATGCAGAGAAACCTGGAGGTCTTCTTGGCCTGCATGCGAATAACTCCTGGCTTCACAGCTTTGATCTCCATCAAACCTGAAAGATACCCAGAAAAGAAGAGAGAGTGAGAGAGAAGACCCCAAGACCCTGGGACTCAAGGTTAATCCAGCAGTCCTTTTTAGAGGAGAGAATACAGTACTCAGAAGTGGTTGACCACCAAAGACCCCAGGACTCAAGGTTAATCCAGTAGTCCTTTTTAGAGTTTTCCAGGAGAGAATATAGTACTCAGAAGTGGTTGACGAGTCCCTTCTTCAGGGGCAGCCCAGGGACTGTGCAGATTGCCCAAGACAACACAGGCTGGCTCTTTTCCTAGGAGACACAGTGAGAAATCAAACTCCCAACCTCTGGCTCTGCAGCCAGATGCGTAAACCACCAGGCTACATAATTCTAAAGCTCCCAGTACAGCTGCATACAAAGAAGCCACAGCTTCTTCTTTCTATACCCTAGCTGATCCTTTCTTGCTTTGCTTTGACAGCATGGATGACCATGTCCCAAAAGATGTGCTGCTCCACACACAGGACTATCAACATCTGCTGAAATGAAAGGTGTGTTGTCTGTTTGCATCTAATTCTTCCCCAAGAAATCTGGGGATATTCTGTGCCACCCTGGCCCACAGATATATCTTCAACCCAAACCGCTTTGAATGATTCCCAAGAGGGATTACCAAATACTTACTGAAGGGGTTCTGGTATCTGGAACCACGCACGGCGCCATCCGGTGTGATCTCCAGGTGGAGGTGCGTTTGCTCATCCGCCGTGTAGAGGTGGCGAAGCCGGACCTGCCCATCAAACTGATAGAGGGGGTTGGAATTTGGAAGAGGGAGAGCAGAAACAGTGGGGGGCAAGGCAGAAAGAAAAATCAGGCAGACGAGAAGGAAGTGGCAGCTATAGTGCCAGAGAGGGGCAGAAATGGCCATCATGGCTCAAATATCAGCCCAAGAGATAAGGAAGGTTGGATGGCAGGGAGAAGTTCAGTGCAGGAAGAAAATCAGGGATGGGCTCAAGGTTCTAGTTCTCAGTTTTTGGTCTGGCAGGCTGCACTAGTCTTTTCTTGGGAGAAGCGCCTAAAACTCCTGGATTCCTGTTCCACCAGGACTAGCTTTTTCTAAGTCTACGTAGAAAGCACCACGTGCCCTGAATCCAGAAGGAATACAATCCAGCTGCTGAAAATGATTCTTATTGGATTTGTGGGTGGGTTTTTGTTCACATATCCAGATTAAAGGAGGATCCTTCCTTTTCCCTTTCAGCTGCCTCACCTCAGGTTTGTTCCCGGCTCACAGGCACACTGGTATATATACACAAGCTCCCTCCAGGGCAGAGGTAGATGCCCATCCCCTAGCTTTGATTCTGCCCTCATCCTTCTCCCTCTCTCCCCCTCCCCTGCTTCTCCACACACTCTCTCTGGGTCCTAAGTATGAGTCACGGGGTACCTATCGCAGCTTCAGCACCCTAACGTAGGGTCACGAGCAGGCCAAAGTCTAAATATTATCATTCCACAGGGCTTTCATGCTGCCGACAGGAAAGGATGATGTAACCTGGGGAATACAGGAGCAAAGCAGAGCTGGAGGAGGGAGAGAAAGAGGGAGAGGGAGAGGAAGCGGGGATTAGAGGAGGGGGTGGAGAAGGCAGGATTGCCTCAGCATCCTGGCCACTCTCCAGGAACCGTTCTGACCTCTGCCCTACATTCCTTAATCTTTCTGAACTTGCACATCTCTCCACTCTTGGCATCCACGTCCTGTATTCGTGCATGCAAAAAGCCGTACTTCAATGTGCACGGGGCCGTTTTGTCCTCTTGAGTCGCTGACCAAACACTGCTGAAAGAGAAGCGATGCACGTTGCTTTCTGGGGCCGTTTTGTCCTCTTGAGTCGCTGAAAGAGAAGCGATGCACGTTGCTTTCAAAGGATCTCAGTTTCAGTCAAGATCCCCAGGTAGAGCTAGGAAAAGACTCCTGTCTGTAACTTTGGGGAGTTTTCACTCCCAGTCATGGCAGACATGGTTAAATATCAGGTGGTTTCCTGATATTTTGGTCTGCATGGTCTGCCGCCACCACCCGTGACAATTAGCTTATATTCACTGAGGCTTATGGGGATTACTCTCGAGTATTCTAAAAATGACGGAGCACCCGGTTGGTCACCTCTGCTGTAGACAGTCATGTGCTAAAGCGATCTCCTACAAGGCACATCCCTATGTTGCTACGACACAGCAAGGGCCAGCCCTACCTTTAGGTAGAGTGAGGCAACCACTTCAGGCTACAGATGGTGCCCATCGTGACATTATTAATAGAGCTTGGGAAAGTGTCTTTTCAGAACTCCAGTTCCTAGAATCCTGCAGCCACAGACAATGATGATTAAGGGATTATGGTTGTTGTTGTCCCAAAAAAGTAATTTCTTCAGCATCTGGTTTTATACTATCTGGGACAACGGTTCCTAACCTAGGGTCCCCAGATGTTCTGAGACTGCAACACCCAGAAGCCTTCACCACTAGCTGTGCTGGCTGGGATTTCTGGGAATTGCAGTTCAAGAACACCTGGGTTATCCAAGGTTGGGAATCACTGGTCTAGGGAATAATCTGAGGATTCTGGAAGGTGTAATTAAAATAAATGCTACTTTGGTCAAATTCTGAAATACCTTCGATATTACAATGTTTTGTAGTGCAGGCCGGGGATTATCTGCCTTGAATCCAAAACTAACCAGATTTGGGTACAATTTGACTCACCAGGGGACAAGATTTGCTGCTCTACTGCAGGCAGGAAAAAATCTTGAGATGGCTATGGAATCCTCTCCCCCCCCCACCCCCGTCTTTGTCAAATAGCCCAGCAGCCTTCACTGGCAGGAACAATCTTTACATCTGGCCTTTCCATTTTGAAAGTTACATCCTTGTAATGTACATAAGAATTACTAGGGGTGGGAAAACTTCTCACCTTAAGGATTGTGAAACATCTAACTGGAGACAAACAGAAGACAGACAACACCTTTAATGGCAACGGGTCACCTTAACGGCAGGTCAAATAAGAAGCGTTGGGTGATAACAGGTCGTAAAGGAGGAGACAAATTAACTCCTGAAGTAGATTAACTGGTTAGATTCATGAGTTTTAAAAACATGATAATCAACACAAAAGGCACCACTGATTAATCCGCAGCACTAAGACAAGTTAATTATTTCTAAGATAAGAAATTATAAAAATCTGAGGACAGAAAGCATTGGTGGAAAATAAGCATGCCACCTTCTTTCCCACGTAGATAAGAAGTCTCTCATAAGGAGATGCCTACCATGCCATACACACATCCACCTCTTGCAAACATAGGAAATTTTAATATTTCAAATTTTTTTTGTCCTTTTTAACCCATTAGACAAAACAGATTCAGATTTAATCTATTCATGGACCAGTTAAAATATTTATTGATCATCTAAGATGTGCTCAGTCAGATGGTAAGTCGGGTCTCTCTCTGTGTCTCTCAATGTCTCAGTCCTACTTTCTTTGCTCTTGTGTATCCTTACTTTTTTCTTTTTTGCATCCACATGGGATAATTTAAAGACATTGCAAACGTTTTTGGACTACAAATCCCAGAACTCCCCCCCCCAAAAAAAAAAACATGGCTAGTTTGCAGTACTATGTTCCTCCTGTCTTTGGCTGGATCAGACTCAGTATACAACCACACAGTGGGAAAAATGCAAATGGATCCGTTGTGAAGTAGCACCTGGGAAGTCAGGTTTCCTAGGTTAATTCACTTCAGCCAACCGCACAGGACTCAGCAGAGAAAGGGGAGAAAATCAATCTTTTTTGCAGCTTGTTAACCATTTGAATTCTCTTCTACCCACATCTGTTGCCTGTGCTTGCTTGTTTCCCTCTTCCGTTGATTCATTCATTCACTTTCTTTCTTTCTTTTTCTTTCTTTCTTTCTTTCTTTCTTTCTTTCTTTCTTTCTTTCTTTCTTTCTTTCTTTCTTTCTTTCTTTCTTTCTTTCTTTCTAAGGCTTGCTGTCCTCATGCTAGGTGACCAATGAAAGAGGAATTGTTTCAAAGAGATGAAGAAATTTTCAACCAATCTTGTTTCCAGCTTGTTAAGGTGGCTCTGCTGCAGCCATCCAGATTTGCAGGAAGTACACAGCAGAACTACCTCAACAAGCTGGAAATAAGGCTGACTGAAAACTTCCTTGTCTTTCTCTGCTGATTCCTCATTTTCTCTCTTGCTCTCTTTGGTCCTATGGCTGCCTTAGCATTAGGACGACAAGCCTTTAAAAAAAAAAGGAAGAACAGAACAGAACAGAAAAAGAAGAGGGAAACAAGCAAAGCCAGTCACCAAATGTGAGAATGAGAGGATTCAAAAGGCAGCCAGTCCTCATCCCCTCCCTGGTCTGCCTCTCTCTGCTGCTGCTGTAGCTGGCTGGAATGGCTTCAAATACAAGTGCTACAAATTCCTCCCCATCAGCTCAGCCCCAGCAGTGGAAGGAAACACAAGAGGTTTGGAGCAAAAACTCCAAGCTGATTTGCATTGGCATCCATCATGTAGTCAATGGAAAATAATGTGACTCTGACTTTTCCAATCCCAGAGCATTTCCTGCATTATTTGTTTCCTTGGAGAAACATTTCCTCCATATTGTCTCTACACTAGGAAAAGTTTCACCTACTAAATTTCTATCTATTGGGCAGCTGTGTAAGGTACTGTAGTAAGACCATATACTGTATTGCAGCTCTTGAGGTCCTTGAGTAGAACACTTAGATGTGTTGGGGACAATAGCACAAGGGCCAGACATGTTTTCTTCTTCAAAATTACATACTAACAAAAAAGAGAAGGAATTCGCTGGATTTTGTAGTAAGTTGGTTGGGTGCACAATGATGCTTGAAATGCTGAAATCAGTATGGAAGTTCCCAGTCAGACAGGCTGTCCCCAAGCTGCTTGGCAAGATCTGGTAAATCAGCCCAGATAGGATACACCTGCTGTTTCTACCCTGTTTCCCCGAAAATAAGACCTAACCTGAAAATGAGCCCTAGTAGGATTTTTCAGGATGCTCGTAATAAAAGCTCTACCCCCAAAATAAGCCCTAGTTAAGTGAAACCCAGCCCTCCACCATTGAGCAGCGACCAGAAGATGATATGACTGTATTTGAATAAATGTAGACTGTTGTACATGAAAAAATAAAACATCCCATGAAAATAAGCCCTACTGCGGGTTTTTTTGGAGCAAAAATTAATATAAGACCCTGTCTTAATTTTGGGGGAACACAGTATGTCATACATCCGTTTGACGGAACTCAACCCTTTTCCTGTTTGCTATCATGTGAGCGACTGTAATTCGGTGATGGGTATGTGTGCTGAAGAGGGATGAAGTAGCATCTTTCACACATTATAAAGGTTTCTCAAGTTTGTGACTGTAAAACAGCTGACTTTGAAGATAAAGATTATAAGACAGCGCCAGAATTTCTGGATAAAATGTGCACAGTAAGCTGGCTGTTTCTCTCTCTCTCTTTTTAAAATCACTTTTAAAAAAAACACTCCCGGTGCATTTCCAAAGTTCTAGTAGGGGTGGTATGTAGAGAGATTATGCAATTCATTGTAGTAATTACAGTCCTAAATTGAGACTAGGAAAATCTATGTTCACATCCTCACTTGGCTCTAAAGAAAACTGGATGGTCTCCCCTACTATACAAAACAACGATGGTGTCCACTTCTCTCCAAAAAAAAGGGGGGGACATCAAATAAAAAAGGTTGTGGGCACCATCAAATGGATGTATGCCATTAAAAAAATAAGCTCGCTGGATAGATAGCTCTGTGGTTTAAGTGTCTGGCTAAGGAGTCTGAGGTTGAGAGGTTGATTCCCACTGTGTCCCCTGTGAGTTGAGTCAGCCTGTGTAGCCCTGGGAAGGCTACTCAGTCCCAGGATGACCCCAAAAGAAGAGAGTAGTAAACCACTTCTGAGTATTCTCTACCTGGAAAGCCTTGAAAAGTCAAAAATGACTTGATGGCACATTATTATTAGAGGGAAGAGTCCTATGACATGTCATATTTTTTTCTGCAGCCTATGTTTGGACTATGTTTTGGCCAACAAAAGTCCGAATAGTATAAGCTATGGTTTTCCCTGTAGTGATGTGCGGAAGTGAGAGCTGGACCATAAAGAAAACTGACCGCCAAAGAATTGATGCTTTTGAATTGTGGTGCTGGAGGAGGCTCTTGAGAGTCCTCTGGACTGCAAGGACAACAAACCTATCCATTTTGAAGGAAATCACCCCTGAGTGCTCACTGGAATGACAGATCCTGAAGCTGAGGCTCCAATACTTCGGCCATCTCATGAAAAGAGAAGACTCCCTGGAAAAGACCCTGATGTTGGGAAAG